GGATAAGCCCAATAAATAAAAAACCCTTTCCTCCCCAACTTGCTTTTTGGTCATGGTGTTTCACCGCAGCAATAGAAACCCTAAATAAACAGCCTCTGTGCCCTCAGACAGCAACTGAGCCACAGACTTAGTAACACAAGTCATGTACAAAAAAGGAAAACCATGCCGGGCATTGGTGGCACCCACCTTTAATCCCAGCACTCGAAAGGCAGAGGCAGGTAGATGTTGGGGTTCACAGCCAGCCTGGTCTTGAACTCAGTAAAGAAACCCTGTTTTGAAAAACAAACAAAAAAGGAAAACCCAGATAAACAAATTTCATAAAAAGGTGAGATCTTTGTACATAAGGACACAAATAAGAAAACACCTGCGGGTCACATCTGGCAGTCACAATGGTCAGAATACAAAGAGCTTCTACAACACAGCAGCAACACCAAATCTGAGAGTGGGGCGGGCGTGTTCTCTGAAGAGAAGTTATCAGTGACCACTGTGAGCCAACAGGGAGTGGCTAGAACCTCAACAAGAGAATCCATCCATCCATCCATCCATCCACCCACCCACCCATCCATCCACCCTCCCACCCATTCATTCATCCATCCATCCATCCATGGGGATGGCCACGGTTTAAACAGAGCAGGCAGGGCTGAGGACACATTGACACAGGACATCTCATCACAAATAAAAAGCCAAAATGGTGCAAGCCACCATGGGACATGAAGGAGCTGCTCAGGTGAAGCCAGAACCCCATTCCTCCCAGATTCCTGCTGTCCCTCCACCAGCATCTACCAGAACGAACGAACGAACCAATGCCAGTACAGAGATGTAACTGTGGCTGTCACAGCCACTCCATTTGCAACAAGAGTTGAAATGCTGCAGGGCTGATCCCCCCTGCAGCATATGGGTTCCATATCTGTAACTTCTGCAGGAGAGCCTGACGTACAACAAACCATGGCTCTCTGCTGCCTGTGCTCTTGAACTTAATCTCATCTACTGACAACAGAGTATTTAAAGTAGCCCCCGAGAGTGTGCTGAGTGCAGGAGACAGGAGGAAGGCCTTGGGTGTGGCTTGATGCTGCTCAGCAGGCAGAGCACAAGCAAACAAGTAAACAGTTGAGGTGCTATCTAAACCCTGACAAACACTATTAGGTTCACTGTGGTTCAGGGCAGACAGGGTTGACAGCTCAACCACCTCAATGATGTCCACAATCAACAGAGGACATTAAATCCGGCATCTTTAAAGAGGCACAGACAGGGTCACACACTGACCAGGCACAAAAAGGCTGATATGAAAACCAGAAGGTAGTGGCTACTGACTCCCTCAGGGCTACCACTAAGTCTCTAAGCCAGAGCTGGCCCTGACAGGCCCAGACATATGTGAACATATGTCCATGGAATACATCACAAAGCAAGGAGCCCTTGCCCACTGCCCCCCTCAGAACCTTCCAAGCTCACAGCCTGAGACCTGAGAGGTCACCTGTCCACTGTGACAGCAGCAGTCCTGAAATGTGAGCATGGTATGTCACCCAGAGCCTGTGCTCTTTCTGCTGTTGCTGAAGCAGTGGCACCCCTGTAATCCTGCCTGCCGCCTAGTCTGAGTGCCATGCATGCACATCTGCACATGGCATATGCAGTTAGGGTACAGCAGCAGGTAGATCTGAGTGACTCGGGTGTGTCACCTAGCACATCTATCACCCAGAGCAAGATTCAATCCACAGCCATGTGACTGGCCTGGCTCCACCCTGAGGCTGGAGATGGTAGGGAATGGTATAGGCCTACAGTCAGGAAGCTCTTAATTCCACTAGGTCTTGGTTCATAGTTTTTCCAGCGTTGTACTTAACTTCCCAGCATCAAATCCTCAGCAAACCTCCCCAGGAGAAACACACAAGGCAATGTGGGAACACAACCTGCAGACCACACTGCTATCATTGCACTGCCCTACAGACTCAGTGCTGCTGTGGCCACTCTCCCTATCATCCCTCAGCATTCCAGTATCTGCAGCCTGGGTGATGAGGAGACAAGACCATGCTTGGCACAGGCACTGCTGGTGTGACCACAAATGGGATTGCTCCTTCCAGGGTATTCACTCCCAGCAAGACACAATTCCTCAGGCCAGCCTTTGTCCCAGGAGCATGTGTGCAGGCAGGAAGCCACAGACACCGAGAGAGCTTCACTTGAGAGAACCCATGATGAGTTAGTCAGAGCCAAGATCTGCCCCAGGACACGTGGGGACATAACATTGTGTGCATGGTCAGCAGCCCAGAGAAAACAAGGGGTTCATGAGAGTGCCTGACCTGCAGCTCATATGAAGCGCAGCATCTCAAGACCTCAAGCAGAGATGCCTTGGCACCTGGTATGGCTGTGGGGTGAAGCAGACTACATGACCTATGCACAGCCACCTCAGGCTCCCAGCCCAGAGGGCATGGTGGCACATGAACATCCAGTTCAGTCTGTGCTTCATCACATCTGAAGGCTGCGGGGAGCTTGAGAGCTCCTCCCTGAGAAGCACGGGAAGCAGAGACCATGCTCATAGTACAGCCTACCCATCCCATCAGGGTGAGGGCACAGCTCTGATTTTGAAGACCAAGACTGTGCTGCCCAGCTGCCCTGGTTCATCCCACCATGGCCAAAGTAACTCAGAAACACCAGGAGTGTGACTCTCTTTAAATGGTGCCTTGCCACCATTTAAAGACACAAGGACCTAGATGACAGCCCCACCCTAGGATGTGCCTCAGACAAACTGTGGGACAGGAACAGGGGGAAACAGCCTCCACCCAGGCCACTGCACCAGCGCCCCAGCCCAGGGATTCTGTGCTGTCCCATCCCTAGGAACTGGACATGTAAGGACACCGCGATATCCTATCTGACTACAGCCTTGCAATCAGAAAGCCAGACCACTCAATCCTCCCGCAGCCATCTGGTTCTGGCTACTGGGGGAGTAGAGGGGATTTATCACCATAAAGCTGGGGTGGTAGCCTATGTAGTAATCAAGGCCCTGCCTATGCTCAAGAGCACTGTGATTCCCATGGCATGATATGTTCACCACACAGCCTCCCAGTCATTAGCACAAGAGGCTCCAGTGCACACCTCAGAGGGCTGTTGGTGGCTAGGGTTAGGAGCAGCACCTTAAGAACTAGAGCCCAGCCCAATCAGACCACATGCTTGGTTAGGCAGGGAGAGGCCCACAGGTGTCAGGGACACAAGGCCTCTGAGCACAGGGGACTACAAACAGCTCTTGAGACTAGGATATGGGAGCCTATTAGCCTAGAAGTGGTTCAGCTGCTCCAGGGTGGGTGACAGTCCCCTGGCGCATGCCTGGACCACAGCAAGAAGGACTGCTGTGTGCATCCTACTGCTCAAAAATCACTGAGGGCCGCAGGGAGGAACTCATGACCTTGGCTGTGTCCCTGATGCCATGGCATGGCTGAGACTCCATATGCTTACATTCTCCCATGAGGCAGCACACCTGAGCCTGTCCCCAGAGGTCCCTTTTTGCCACTCTCAATCTCCTGCAGGCCTGGTATAAACAAGGACCCAAGACTCAGAGACTCAGGTGGAACAAGGCACCCCAAGCAGCGGAGGTCTTTTCCAATAGAGCTAAGTGTGACACTCCCAGGATATACATTAGGGCCTGGGAAGGTGACTTCACTGTTAAATTTTTATTTACAAGCATGTGGCTGAGTTTGCTCCCGAGTGTGATCTGTAATCCCAGAACTGGGAGAGATACAGGCCATGCCTAGAGCTCACTGCAGTGAGCTCTCATAAGGTAGAACTCTCTGAAGATGCTCTCTAGCCTCCATGTACACACATGTAAACATACACACACACACACACACACACACACACACACACACACCCCTCAGGAAAACACTGTGCCACCGTTCAGGGGTTCTACAAGGCATCATGGACCTCGAAACAATGGAAAGAGGACCTGTATGGGTAAAAATGCTTGCTGCCAACCCTGAAGCCCTGAGTTCAATCCCCAAAGTGCCCTGGTAAAAGGAGAGAACCCAATTTTCACAAGTTGTTCTTTGGCCTCCGTGTGTGTATGTGTGTGCATATGTGAGCATGTGCACACTCATTCTCAAGTGTGCACACACATAGAGTAAATAATTATAAGAAATACAGAGAAAAAGAAAGAGAGAGAGAATCCAAAGAAAAACAACTGGCATAGTGCAGGTTCCCAGCAGGCAGAAGTGGCAGCTCAGGAGGAAGAGCCTGGGTGCTCTGTGCCACTGCTGGCCGCCCTGTGCCACTAAGGGAACAGTACCCACAGGCGCAGTACAGAAGCAGGCTGTGAAAAAGCCCCTCTCTGGGGCTGCACTACTCCTGTGTACTCTACTCACTCAGGGACACTAGCTACACTTCTCCAGACTCCCCACTTGCCCGTCTAGGGCACTTAAGATTGTCTGTAGGTCTGTGTGGGAGAGTGAGGTACCTTCTAACTCCATAGCCTCAGAGTCAGAGGGATAGCAAAGCCTTGGTTGGGGGACACACCACACACAGTAATTACAATGTTGACAGTATACACAGTGGGCACCACACCTTTCTCCCCTTGGGTGTTGGCAGTCTACGAACCACTCTCCTACTGAGGCTGCTCCTATAGAGTAGCTAAACAACCCACCTTCCTATCCAGCTATGTGCATACACCCCATCTCCTTGTTCAGCCTCCCTGCCCAGCTGTTAGGCAGCTGCAGTTTCTGTTTCTCTGAGAACACTGGATTGGAGATTTCTGTGTCTTTGTTCATTAACTCTTTGTTCCAGTTAGGTCAAGTGACCTATACTCACTTGCTCCTCTCTGCCGATGGGGACTGCAGCTGGCTCAACCTCCACTTTCTGCTTTTCTTTCTGTCAGGGTCCCCTGTGCAGTGTGGGCTGGGACCATGACCCATGCCTCAGCCTCTGCACTGTGCTGACAGGCACTTGCCCCTCGTCCCATTGCCTCACTTACACCCATGGTCACAGTTACTTCCCACACCCACACACACACCGACCCAGTCTCTCACCTTGTTTTTGAAGTACACTTCGATGAGCATGATGAAGCCTGCATAGCCAGACTCCTCCACTTTGTAGGGGGGCTCCTTGCACACTGCGAAGAAAGTAAAAATCTTCCATCAGCCCCCTGCCCACAACAGCTCTCCAAGCAGGCCCTAGGCTACTCTGCAGGAGACCTGGCTCCAGGGACAATGGAGCTCCAGGCCAGGACTTCTGTAAAATGACAGGATAGAGAGGGGTCAGAAAGAAGGCAAGGGAGGGCCCCAGCATGGTCGGCAGAGGGCAGGGCATATCCAGTGACAAGCACCTTGGTACCAGGGATGCCAGGCAAGGGGCTCAGGAGCACCTCCCCAAGATACTCCAACACATCAGCCTGCAAAACCTGTCCCACTGTCTACCCCCAACCTTCAAACACCCTGCCCGAGAGAGGCTGCTTAAGTCATGGTGGCAAAAGAGAAAAGGAGAAAGGAGGATGGAAGGGGACAGGAGCCAGCAGGAGTCAGACCTTGTACACATCATATGGCTGTGGAGACAGCTTAGCAAGCAGGTAGCCTGCAGGGCCTAGGGGCCACCAAAGGTGAGACTGCGTACGGCTTTACATGGAACCCAGGCAGGCAACTACAAGGGCCAGGTTAGCCTGTGGCTCCTCAGGACTAGAGCTGCAGGGTAGGCATGAGACGGGCAAGCCCAAGACTTCTTTCTACCTCCTCCGCCATGGCTACACTGTACAGTGCACTGCTTCTTCCAGGGCTACCCTGCCCTTCCCACCCTAGCAACACTTGTGGACACCTGCAGCAGCACTTCCTAGGGACATCAGGGTCTGCACCTGAATCACTACAGCCATAGAGCAATGCCTATGCTTGTTCATTCATTCTCCACTCACTGAGGTGTCCCTGGGGCAAAGGGGCTAGGACAATATCAGACAGGCCACTGAAGCACCCACCACCCCAGCTTTTTCCTGAGAGGGCTGCATCCTTGAACTGATGGAGGTGGAGACTGTGGCCTGATTCTCAGTTCCCACTAATCTGGTTTCTATTCCACATACAGGTCTTCTGCTGGAGATGCCCTGGCCTCGTAGTGCCTGCACTGTTTCTCCTAGTATCCTCAGTCTTTGTGTACCCCCACTATTTCTCCAAGTGTCTTCAGTGTTCACTGTTCTAATACAATGTGACAGGGACTTGGTGGGAAGCTCCACAGTGGGTGAAGGATAAACCATGCCAGAGACCGAGCTTATATGGTAAGTTTTATTAGGGGAAGGGAAGGGAAGAGAAAAAAATAGAGAAAGGGAAGGGGGGAGAGAGGGAGACAGGAAGGGAGGGATAAGAGGGAGAGAGAGAAAGAGAGAGAAAGCAAGAAAGGAAAAGCTCTGCCTGCCTCTTCAGAGAACAGGGGGAAAGGGGGAGTGGGTGGAGCTTGTCTCTACAGAACCAGGGTAGTGCTTGACATGTACCCCAGCAGGGTCAAAGTGTACTTGCATGCTAACATTCAGTCTTAATGCACCCCACTGTTTCTCCTAAGGTCCCCAGTTCTGACTCCTCATTCTGCCCCCCAGGGATTCAAGGCCACCTGGATGTTCTCTGGCCAACTTCCAAACCTGCCAGCAGCTCAGGATAGGCCCACTGTCCACTGGGTGCTACAGATGAGGTCCACTCCCACCCCACCCACCCACACTGTCTGGCACCAGGTATTCCTGGGCAGCTTCTGCTCAGCCACTCAACCCATCACATGAATCCTGCACCTGGCTCCCCACAAAGCCCCACTGTGTCTCTCCACCACCCCAAGGGCCATCTCCTGGCTCCAGCCACCTGAAAGTACTTCACCACTCTTGAACTCTCTCCAAAGACCAGGCACTGATTCCCAGATTCCAGTCCCACTGAGCGCTGGTCAAAAGTCACCCCACCCTGCCCCCTGATGAGCCCAACTCTGTGCCCTTTACACACCACGTGTACACCTTGCTCCATTGCTCCAGATCACAAGCTGCATTAGTTCTACCTCTAAGGCTGTCCACAGGCAGCACTTCAGAAAGCAGCCACACATGCCGCTAGCTGAGGCAATCTAGTCCCTCCACATCTTCCTAGGAAAAACACGCAGACTCTCTACTGCCCAACCCACTGACAGTCTTCGGGCTTCAGAGTGCTTCTCAACGGGGTCTGTGTCACGATGGAGGGGCAGATAGGAAGTGTCCTATTACCACTCTGCCCTCACCAATGCTAACAAACTCCAACCCCATCATCTCTCCACAAGCCCTTAGAGATCTCATGTAGACAGCAAAGACCAGCACAAGGCCATGTCCCAGCGGGACAGGCGACCTCCAGATCACTAGTTGCTCACAAACTATCTCAGCAAGTCTGACATACCTCAGCCCACCCATGTTAAGAAGCCCTCCTGTGTATCTAAGGCTCCAAAAAGGCTCCTGACATCTCCAGTGTTCAGCAGGAACAGACAGGCTTCTTTGGGGACTCCCAGTGCCACAGAGTCTCAGAGGACAAAAAGGAAACTGAAATCTGGACTAGCAAGATAGCTCAGAAAGTAAAAGACCTGCTACCAAACTGACCTACATGGTAGAGGAAGAAAACACTCCCAGAAGTTGTCTTCCAACACCCACACAGGCACCATGGCACACCCTTCCCCCAATACACACAAAATCAATCAATGTAATTAAATTTTTCTAGGAACTGAAGAGATAACAGCCTTGCAGGGAACCCCAGTTCAGTTCCCAGCACCCCTCATAACTGCCTTTAATTCCTATTCCAGGGGATCTAATGCCTTCTTCTGGCTTCATGGGGCACCTGCACTTGTGTGTGTGTGTGTGTGCGCACATGCACGCACACACACACACACACACACACACCATAGGTTTTCCACTAGGTATCATGTGACACACCTGTACATGGCATCCCAGCATTCCAAGGCAGAGGAAGGCCAGGAGTTCAAGTCATTCTCAAATTGGAAGTAAGCTTAGACTGGGCTATGAGACCCTGACTCAAGAAAATTTAAAAGTCATGAGCCAGGCAGTGATGGCTCATGTTGAGTGCTACAAAGTTTGAAGGCGAGCTGGACAACATAATGGCACCGTCTCAACAAACAGCCTAGTGGCGTACTTATAGTCTTTACCCAAGGTGCACAAGGTCCACCACTGGGTGTGGAAAGTGTATGTCTGGCATACTCTCATGGGCCATCACAGCATTCCAGACTCAGAGGCAAGAGGGCCAAGAGTTCAAGGTCGTCTTCAGCTACATGGCTAGTTTAAGGTCTGCCAAGGCTCAAGAAAACTAACAACGGCCTTTCCAGTGAGCCAGGGCTTGGGGACAAGGAGGCACAGCGTTGATTAGGAACCACCTCTTCATTAACATCCCCCACCCCAAGATCCCAGAGGGGAAGGGACCCAAAGAGGGAGGGGCACAGAGGACTATCTTGTAAGGGAGGCATGGGGGTAGTTGCAGTATACCAGAAACTCAACAGGATGAAAGGGAGGACAGCAAATAGGTGGCTGGATGGAAGGATAGGTACAGGAAGGGAAGAGTGGCGATGAATGTGAGGATGTGTGTGTGGGTGACAGATGGGTAAATGGAAGACAGACCAATAGATAGGTGGGTGAAGAAAAGGAAGAAGGCAGGTAGAACTGAGAAAATGAGCATTTAGGGGTAAAATTAGGATGGAAAGCACAAAGTCAGGAAAAAGAAAAAATAGTAGAACAGAAGTGCTTGGCCCAAACAAAACTTTATGTCACCACTGCAGGCCTTTTATCAATATCCCATGAACTACAGCCCACATAGCAACGTAGAAGGTCAACAATTCTCTCCACCTGATGAGCTTCACTATAGAAAAGCATTCTGTGCAGTGCTAACACATACAAGAAAATAGCATTTATAGGTAGCTGATCCCCCAGTGAGGAGGGGCTGGGGGCTTAGTCAGCGGTGGAGCCCCACCTACTCCCCCAGTGAGGGGCTGGAGGTGTGGCTGGGGTGGAGCCCTTTCCTTGAATCCCCCAGTGAGGGGCTGGGGTGTGGTTGGGTGGAGCCCCACCTAGAGTCCCCCAGGGAGGGGCTGGAGGTGTGGTTGGGGTAGAGCCCTTGCCTAGAGTCCCCCAGTGAGGGACTGGGGATATGGTTGAGGTAGAGCCCTGCCTAGAATTCCCCCCACCCCCAGTACCCCTGCCCATAACACACCATCCTCCAAGTTGGGGTGTGATCCAGTTATTAAGTACCCACCTTATATGTAAAACTATGTTCCACCATCAGCACAGCACAAAAGAAAATTGGTATGCACTACAGGGGCATGACCAGCTTGAGCCAGAGTAAAGACTCAATAGTGAGGACAGTGACCCAGTCTACACATATGCACTTGCCAAAGCCTGCCAGGAGTACCTTCCGCTGGAAGTCACTTCTGACCGCAAATCTAACAGACTGTGCTCTGGGGAAGCAGCTCCTGAGGCAAGTGGAAAAATGTGTGGAACAGTGATGGGAACCACATGTTGCAGCCTTGGTAACATGGTACCCAGAAAAGAGATATGTAAGCAAGGACAGCAGTGAGTGACAGGAGTACCTATAATTTTTCCACCCTAAAGAATATGCATTTTTTATTGAAAATAGATTCTTTCATATATTATATTGTGATTAGTTTCCCCTCCCCCAACTCTTCTCGAATCCTCCCTATTTACCCACCTACCCAAATCCACATCGTTTTCCCCCTCTCTCATTAGGATACAAACAGGCATCTAAAAGCAGCAATAATACAAAACAAAACAATGAACAAACCAGAATAGGACAAAACAAACGGGGGGGGGGGGGGAGCCAAAGGGGGAAAAAAAAAAAAAGCATACAGATGCTGAGACGACATACACAGAGAAATCCCACAACTAACATAAGCAAAAGATCTGTAAGGGAAGAAAAAGCCCAAAGCACTGTGAGACAAAAACAAAACAAAAAAACAAAAACAAACAAAAAAAAAAAAACCTCCCAACATACCACTGAGTTCGTTTTGTGTAGTCCATCTACTGCTGGGCATAGGACTGCCCTTAGGGGTGGTTTGTATACCACGTGAGACTCATCAGAGAATTCTTAAGCCATCACCCTGATTGCTTCTGGCCTGGGATGTCTCTTGGCTACTCCACTTCCCATGAGTGAGCGGGGCAGGCACTAGACACATCATCAGGCTGGGGGTGGAGGAACACTGGTGGGGAGGAACAGGGAAAGGACACTCACCACGCTTGGGTTTGGGGAAGCTGTCATGCAGTCGGAAGATAACCTTCTCCACAAAGTGCTGAATGTCACACTGCTCAGGCCCACGTACGAAGACCATCCAGTCATGGGTGAAGCCCTCAGTGGTGGGCTTCTTGCGAAGTTGGGCACGGTGCCCCAGCTCTAACTTCACCTGGACAGTGCACTGAGGAGGAAGAGAGGCAAGGCCAGGTCAGCATGGAGGCAGAGCCACATACTGTCAGTGCTAGCTGCAGGTGCTTCTGCATGCTTCCAGGAAGCAAATACACATACACCACACACAAGGTCCTGGCCCCTCCCATTGGCTGCAGCATCTGTGGTCCCTTCAACTCAATGCTGTTCCCTGGACATCCCAGCTGATTCATCACTGGGAGGACCTAATGAAGCAGTTTTCCCTGGCCTCTCCCCACAGTATCTGTGGCCCTGATGTCCACCTGGACACAGAGCCTGAGACCTCACAGATCAGAACTAGGCAGCCCTGTACTGAAGGACCCCAGGGTGCCAGCCTAGCTAGCCACAGCAGCTCCTTGAGGGAGCACTCTCATTCTCCCTCCTGAAGGTGTTTTGACAATGTATCCTGAAACCCTAAGTGGCTCAAGCCAGTCCCAAAGTAAATGCAATGCCACTAAACTCCAAGAGATTCCCAGCACCAGGGCAGGCCCACCCACCTCAGAATGTCTGCAATCTGTAAAACCCTCTCTAGACATTGTATGGGGGGGAAAGGGGGGGATGCAGAGCCAACATTGACACTGGGTTCTTCCCCACCACTTTCTATATTACACATGAACGAAGGGCCTCTCACCTGAGCCCAGAGCGTGCTGGTCTGGCTAGCCCAGGCTGCTAGCTTGCTCTGGTGTCCCTTGTTTTTGACATGAGTAAGCCAGAGTCATCTAAACAGGGCACTTCAACTGAGAAAAGGCATCTATCAGATTGGCCTGTGGTATTTTCCTGATTAATGATTGACATGAGAGAGCCCAGCCCACCATGGGCAGGTGGTCCTGGGATGTATAAAAAAGCAAAACTAAGTAAGCCATGGGGAGCAAGCCCCAACTTCCGAGATAGGCTGTGAAAGCAAAATAAACCCTTCTTTGCTCCAGTTGTCTCTGGCCATGGTGTTTATCACAGCAACCGAAAGCTGAAGCGGCCAGCGAACCTCTGCCTCCCTCCCCAGCACTGGGCTGCCTAACTGCCTGCCCACCTTCACACAAGTGTTGAGGAGCTCAACTCTAGCTTCACATTTGCACATCAAGTCTTAAGCCAATGAGCTGACTTCTCAGCCTTTCATATACTTTTAATGTGGTGTATGTGCATTCACACATGTGTATACATGGAGGCAAAGGACAGCTCTAAATGTCACCCTCAGAATACTATTCACCTTTTAAGATTTAATTTTACTTTATTTACGTGTTTGTCTACGTATCTGTTGTATGTGAGGCCAGGAGCATGGGGAGAGGTCAAAAGAGGGAACCAGATTCCCTAGAATTGCTGTTATAGATGTTTATGAGTCACCCTGTGGGTGCTGGGAACCCAGCTCTGGCCCTCTGAAGCAGTACCAAGTGCTCTTAATAATTGTGCCGTTTCTCCAGGCCCAGGGATCCCCTTATCTCCACTCCCCAAGGCTGGGATCTCAAATATCCAGCTTTTTCACATGGACCCAATTTAGTTCCTCATGTTTGCAAGCAGGATTTTACTGAGCTAACCCTTCAACCCAAAAAGAGCTTTTTTTTTTTTTTTTTGTTTTGTTTTGTTTTGTTTTGTTTTGCGGGTGTGTGTGTATGTGTGTGTGTTACCAGGCATTGAACAGAGGGCTTTAACTGCATGATAGGCAAGCAATGTTATCACTGAGGTACACTACCAGGTGCTCCCTAGGCTTTTTTGTTTGTTTGTTTGTTTGTTTGTTTTTCGAGATAGAGTTTCTCAGTTGTTTCTCAGTGTAGCTTTGGAGCCTATCCTGGCACTCACTCTGTAGACCAGGCTGGTCTGGAACTCACACAGATCTGCCTTCCACTGCCTCTAGAGTACTGGGTTTAAAGGTGTGCTCTACTGCACCCATCTTTACCCTACCTTTTTTAAGACAAGGTCTCACTGAACAGCCCAGGCTGGCCTTGAACTCTCTCCATCCCTCTTCATCCTGAGTGCTGGGGTTTCCCTGTGGTCACTTGACAAAAGAGCTTGACACTTAGTATGAAACAGTCAGAGCAGCATAGGCCAAGCTGGCCTGTTAAGTGCTGTGCCCAGACAAGCGAGACATGAAGGAAGAGGCCCAGGCCACCTGCCAAGAACTCCCACACACTGGCCTCTACTAGCCCTTGCCAGTAGAGCCAGGAGCCCAGGCCCTAGAGGTCCCACCTATGCCCCCAACCCCTCTCCCCACACTTTCTACAAAACCCCTTTAGTATCTGTGCACTCAGATCTCTGCCAGGACAAGCATCCTTTCATTTCCAAGGAAAAGCTCCATTGCTCTAGGACTGCCAAAGGGATGACAAGAGGGGCAGCCAGATGGGAAATGGGTGCTCATGCATGTGAAATCAGACTCTTAGTGGTGGTTGTCTTATAAAGACAGGAACACCTGAAAGATGTGCTCAAGTACAAATAGTGGTGAGTGGAGGAGAGGCTGGAAAAAGGGAAAGGAGGGCTGAAAGGAGAAACCAGCTGGACCTGAGTGCAGAGACCCATCTCTGGGACAAGGGGGCAGGGCTGCAACTCTGCAGGGACAGTCATTGGAAGAGGAGAGCAGAGGTTCAGAATCCCAGCACTGGGGACATCTGGAGGCAGGGGTGGGGGAGTGGGGGGGACATGACATGACAGGACAGGACACATCAACCCCTAGATATAGCTAGGTTTGGTGCCTGCCAGTGACCCACAGAGGACCAGCCTAGGATACATGGCCAGACCCCAGGATGCCTTTGTGGACAGACTGAGCACAGGGTGGAGAATGTTCAACATAATTCTGGAGCAATACCACCAGCACCCCAGAGGCATGATGAACATGGCCACTGCTGGCTAGAGGCTCTCTGGACTCCTAAACACTGGTAACCCTACTCCCCTGAGCCACTTCTTTTGGAATTTCTATCTGCTGTGGGCCTGTCTCCCTGAATCCTACGACTTGCCAGCTGAGCCTTACGCTGCTTGCCTGGCAGTGCTTATGATACTGGGATCCCAGTCAGGTCACAGCACAGGCAGCACACTGGCTATTGCAAAAGAACAAATGACCACAGCTCCATTGGAGCTGAGGACACAAACACCAGAACTTCGAGGCACAGCCAAAGTAAACTGGTTTCAAGGCAATGGCAGACTGTGCCCAAAGTCCTGGCTGGAGACATTGATGCCCAAGGGGCCAGCACCAACTGGGATCACAACACACCCAGCTGAGGGCAACACAGTCTGGACTGGACCAACAGTGTCCAGGTCCCCCATGCTTAACCATCTTTGTCCTTCTTGAGCTGGACCTCAGGAAAGAGCTGAGAGGCTAGAACTTTCTAGAAATAGTGGTAGTGGGATAGCACAGGGTCTGTGCCACCAACATGAGAAAGGCACCTGAAGTTGCAGCAGCTCAAGGCAGTGGCTGAGTGAGCCCTAGCCACCCAGGGACTATTATCTCACAGGGCCCTCCTTGCTCTCCTCTACCTGGATCCCCTGTACCCTCCAGAACCAGAGCCACACTTGAGCAACCAACCAGCTAGTTCTCCAGGATTGGCGCTGCTGCAAAGCCGCACTCCCATTACCAGCACAGCTTCCTGAGGACTGCCTTGCACAACCAGGTCCTCCCAGCACTTTGACCACTTATTGCATGGACACCTCTGCATAACCCAGAACTGAGAACTGCACCTTGTTACCTGCAACCTCAAGGAAACCCTGATGCAGAGGTGAGCAGCCAGGGCCTAGCCAGAAGTGTCACCCGTCCTGCTCCTGAAGATCAGAAGCCAAGGGGTGTAAGGCCCAAAGGCTCAGAGTGCCATCTGGGGACAGTTAAACTCAGACTGGAGGCTTCACACTGCCAGAACAACTGGCAGAGGGCACTCAGACCCAGAATCCCAATCCAGCAAGCCAGGCAAACAGCACATGTGACATCTCACAGTTCCTTCCTGAGGGAATCCATTCTCTATAGGTGTGGACCAGCAAAGGGCCTAAATCCCATCTCACAGCTCTGTGTGACTCCAAATCCATCCATCTGCCCTTATCCACCCACCATGAGCTCACATAACCATCAAACCCATCCATCCACCCTGCCACCTATCAATACACCTACCCATCCATCTATCCATCTATCCATCCATCCCTCCTCCCTCCACCCATTCACCCTCCATCCACACACCTATCAACCCATCCCATTCACTCATCTATCATCCACTTCTCCTACCACACCCCTAAACACCCAGCCCAAGCTTGAGCCCAGGAGGCAGTCATTAGCTGTTAATTTTCCTATAGGCTTTCACCTGATTTCCTGGTGGGAATTCTTTTTAACAAATGACCTTTCCTCTGGGAATCCACACATCACCCCATGGAATAATTACATCTATTATTTGGCTTTTGCAGCCAATACCTTGGCATACACCTGGCCCTCCCCTTTAGCAAGAAAAAACATTGGGTTCACCCTGTAGTAAGGTCCACACACACTGATAGGTAGGTGCTAGGACCCAGACCTAGGAACCCACAGACCAAGACAACTGAGCTCTCTAGAACCTTCCTTGTCCCTCTAATCCCAGACAGGGCTCCTGGGGAAGCAGGTGTCCTAAGACAATCACTAAAGCACCTGGCCAAAAGGTACAAGTCTGGAGGACAACCAATAAAAAACAACCAAGCCAGCAGCCCCAGCCCATCCTCCAATCACTGTCCACTGTAACCCTTTTTGTAGGCCCAGCCACCTCCTTACTCCTGACAGAGCACAAGGCTCAAGACAGAAGGACCAGTAGGGGCTGGGAAGGGACAGGTGTGCTGTCCACATGGACATGCCAGGTACTGAAAACATTCTATGAGAGAGTCCACAACATGAGGATAGCCACCATGTATCTCCTAGGAATGTGGACAATGGCCCCGGGCAGTAGTACTTCGACCATCGGCAACCCCAGTCCAGGCCCCTGGCCCCTATAAAAGCAACCAGCAGCGCAGAGTTAGAAAGCCTGAAACTAGCTGCAGAGGACCCAGGATTCAATGCCAGCTCCAGCACCTTGCCTACATAGTCCCTTCCAGAACTCCTGTGGATAGGTAGAACACTCAGGACATCAGGATAAGATTCCATGCTGGCCTAAGCTGCCCCAGCCCCCCATACCTAAGCCAAATCTCTGCTCCTGGAGTACAGCACAGCCAGGCTGTGGGCATGTGTGCCACCTGCAGCCACACCCTTTCTGAGGCCAGGCCTGCAACTCTGGGAAGGGGATTCCTAGGCTTTTAGCTGGGACCACTGGATACTGACACCCTCTCTAGTGGTTTGCTGGAGAAACCCACTGGGCTCTCAGACCCTTCTCAACTTCCCAGCATTGTACCTGGGCAAACCAACTCCATTCCATCCCTCCAAAATCCTGGCCATGCCCCTGCTCAGCATATCAGACAGCACCAGAGTGGTGGTGGTAGAGGTGGTGTGTGTGTAGGGGACACCTGAAACACTTTCCAAGCCTTCCTATCTATAGGGAAAGCAAGAAGCCCAGAGCAAAAAGCAAACTAACACTTCTGTGCTGGCCTCTGCACCACCAGCCTCAGAATCACAAGGGAAGGCTAGACCAAAATAGGGGATATAGAAGAAAAGCATGTAGAGCCAGCACCCAAGGTCCAGCCCACTGCTTCCCTGAAAGGCACATATGGGTGGAGGGAGGCTAGGACTCTACCATGTGCACCAACAGTCTCCTGAGGAAGAATCACATCTGTGAGTGCCAGCTCCCCACAGGGGTCTCACAGTTTCAATGAGGGCACCTGCTGGGGTTCTCAGGAGCTGGCAGGGAGGAGGGGCAGAGTGCACATGAAGACCCAACAACTCAGCCCAGTGCTACTGGTGGACTTCTGGTGGCAGGGTCCTGTCTGTGTAAACTCCTGGATGGCCAGGTGGTCAGTCATGGTGGCTGCCTATGACCTAAGGACTCAACTTTGCATGTTCCTTGGCTGAAACCTAAAAGCAGCCACAGTCACGGCTGAGCTCAGGCTAAGAGGAGCCTTTTCGCCACTGTCCCGGACTAAGACTGCCATCTTTACTCACCATCCCAGTCACCAAGTGACAGCTGCACAACACACCACAGAGGGAATGGCCTCCAACCTCTGGGGACTCTGGTGAGGACAAGGGCCATGCCCTGCACTTTGGAGTAGAGGGTGCTGAAGGGACAGGGACTTTTTGTGTGGTTCAAACAAGGAAGAGCCCAGATAGCAAGCAGGCTTGCAAACCAGCCTATTCACTAGCAAAGCCAAGTACACCAGATCCAAGAGCCATGCCACCTGCCACTTGCCCCCAATGACCCTAGCCCATGGATAGTGGGACACACAGGAAGGTCCCTGGCTCATGTGCCTGAAACCACATAGCCACATGGTCAAACCAGACAAAGCCGCCTCCATGGTGCCAGCAGCCAGGAATGTCCCAACCTGCCCTTGCTAACAGCAGAAGCCATCAGCTGCCACCCTCACAGCCCCATAACTTCCCAAGGCCAGCACCCCTGAAAACTTAGGCTTGTGAAAGAAAGGGAGAGGATACGGCCCTGGGTGGGAGTAACTTGAAGATGGGGAGGAGCTCACATGGTGAGGAGCTGGGTGACATGGGCACAGATACCAGAAGGGACTCACTCAGGTTTACAAGAACCAACAGGGCTGGTTACCAAGTGGGAGGGGGCTGCTACTGGGAGCCTGGGGAATCCACCTTTGCCTAGGTGAGCTGGGGAAGCAATGGGACTATGAGGAGAGGGGGTGGGGCAGAGGAGGAAGAGATTATGATTGGGGGACTGTGGCTGTGGGAAGACCAGCTGAGATCAGGGTCAGACAGGTGAGAGGGCTACACTAGGATGTCTGGACAGTCATAAATCAGGTCCCAGGTGCAAAGCTGGCCAAACCCAAGGGACATAACAGGATCATTAGGAGTCTGAAGGGCTTGTGGGGTACCAGGTCAGAGCAGAGACTGCCCTTGGTCTGCGTCTCAAGGCAGGTACCACCCTTGGGCCCTGGGCAGAGAGGAAAGTGGCAGCAGGCTGGGCCAAAGAAGCGGACACTGGCCCAAGCTCAAGGTCCCACATCAGAACTAAGTTCACAGCAGCAGTTCAGGGTTTCAGGGACACATGCTCATGTGAGGAAGGAGTTGATGAGGCAGGCTAGGCAGGAGGATGGAAAATATGGTCTGAAGTAGTATCTTGGATAGAAGAGGGTCTAATTCTGGCAAGGGACATTCAAAACAAATGAGGCCAACCAGTACACAAGTATCTGGCAGGGGGTTCATGGAGTTTGGGGCGACTAGGGACCACAAGTCCAGGAAGGACTCTCTCCAAAGAAAAGGGGCCAGATTTGGGGCAGTGTGGCATGTAAGAGGATATGAAGGGGGATTTGGGAGGACCTAAATTTCCTGAAGCTGTCTATCTATAAAGACACTTGAGGGTCTCTGCAGATTCAGAGCCATGCTGGGACCACAGAGGCTGGGAGTCCCACTCAAGCTGAGACCTGTTTCCAAGGGTTCTGGACCAGGCTGTGGTGCCAGGGGCTGTGGGATGTCCTGGAGTTCTGAGGGGAGTCTGCCTAGATTTGGATCCACAGGGACTGTGAGTAACTCTGGGGTTCCCAGATAGGTTGGGTAGCTCTAGAATTCCAATGGGTGCCCTGGGTTCCATTCATGTACTGTGATTCCAAAGGATTGCCCAGGGGATTCTGAATCAGGGCAGGATCCCCAAGGTGCTGTGGGGTTCCATGTCTTCCTGGAGAGCTGTGGACCCGGCAGGAGATCCCCAGGGTGCTATGGTAGCACTAAAGCTCCAAGGGGGGTAGGGATCCCAAAGGGTTCTAGAACAGGCTGGGATGCCCAGGGTCCTAAAGCCCTGGGATCCTGAGAGGCACCTCGGGAAACTGTGTGTAGACTGGGGTTCTATGGGTACCTCCGGAGGCCTCTGAAACAAGATAGTTCCCATGGTGCTGAAATCCTGGGGTCCTGAGTGATGCCCAGGGGATTCACTGAGGTTCTAAAGGGTGTCTCAGGCTGCATCTCCCAGGATGCTGTGGCGGCTCCAGGGTGGTATAGATACACTACACTGGAAAAGGGTTCTCCAGAGTGGAGTGGGTGTCATTGGAGTGCTGGGATGCATCCCAGGGGGTTCTGCACCAGACCTGGGGTCGCGATGGGGGAGGGGCGCGTGGGGTCGCGGTGGGGGAGGGGTGCCCCGATATGGCGATGGGGGAGGGGCGCCCGGGGGTCGCGGTGGCGGGAGGGGGGCATCCTGCCTTGTGCGCGCCCATTGGGCGCGCGCGGGGCCGTGTGCGCGCAGGGTCGGCCGCAGCGCCGCGCAGGGCAGCGGGAGGCCGGTTCCAGGCGGAGGCTTCTCACCTGATTGTCCATGGCTGGCACCCGCCCCGCCCCCGGGCCCGCGTCGCTCCCGCCGCCGCCACTCAGCGCCGCCCCGCCGCCCTCATTGTCTGTCGGGCGCCACCGCCGCCGCTGCTCCGGGCCGCCCGCCCGCCCGCCAGCCGCGCTGAACCGGAAACCGCCGCCAGCCCGGGCCGCTCAGCGACCGCGGGCCCCCAGCCGCCGACTCGGGCCCGGCCTCGCCAACAGACAAGCTATCAAACCTATCGGAAGGCTGGAGAGCCGCGCGCGGGGCGGGACTTCCTGGCTGGTGGGGGCCCGCCGGGCTGCGGACCGAGCGACGAAGCCGTCAGCCAATGGGAAGCAGGCGCCGTAGGGGGCGGGCGGAGAGAGGGAGGGAGGCGCGAAGCTAGCGCGGCCGAGCGGCGCGAGGTGTGCACCGCACGTGGAGGGGGCGGGCCAGGCCGCGATGTGACGCCTGCGCGCTGGGGCCCCGAGCGTCCCCCAAAATGGCATGAAGGCTTCGGGTTCGAGCCTTCGGAAGGGAGGGAGCGAGCGCCGGCGACGTTTGTTGCTGCTGTGTGACGCAGCGGACGGTTAGTTTACTGATTTGGATCGTAAAAAGCTAATGGCTTTAGCCGATTTCTCCCCCGCAAGCCTCAGTTTGAGCATCTGCAAAATCGAGATCGTCCGCGTCGATGCTTACCCCACCACCACCACCTTGTAGCTGAGGCATATAATTTCTGCGCCCTCTTATGGCCTCCTCGCACACTGCACACAGGTTCAGGGCTCGCACACAGGTTCAGGGCTCGCACACAGACACACACACAGAATTTAAAATAATAGAAGTCTTTTAAAAAATACAAAGAGGAATTGTTTGAGGTGGTTCTTCTTGCTGTGGTTGTAACGGTGCACATTGGAAGTGGTGCCATTCTAAATGACCAGCAAGCACTCTGAACACCGGGAAAGTAACGAGTCAGTCTACTCAGTGCTACTGTAGATGACAGCTGTTTGTGTTTTCTTTCCCTCTTTGGTTGATTGGTCGGTTGATTTTATTTGTTTTTTTCAAGACAGGGTCTCCCTGTATGGCCCTGGCTGTCCTGGAACTCGCTCTGTAGATTGGGTTGGCCTCGAACTCACAGAGATCCGCTTGCCTCTGCCTCTGCCTCCCAAGTGCTAGGATTAAGAGTGTGCACCATTACTGTTGTTCTTTTGCTGCGCAACTAATGCCTAAGAAACACAAACACGAGACTCAGCGCCCACGTGGAGTTTATTGAGAGAAGGGAGAGAAAGAGGGGGTAGCTGGTGGCCAACCGAAAGCAGGAGGGGGGGGCAGAGAGGGAGAGCAAGAGGGGATAAGAGAGAGGGCAAGAGAGAGGGGCAAGCTTGGCATGCTAGTGTTAAAAGGGGGGCTTGCACATGCGTAACTGAGTCCTCTGGCAGCCAGGTAAAGCTTGAGCCGCCAGGTAAGGCTGACGTAGTGATGATGTAGCCATGAGCATCCTGCCCATCGTCAGGAGCGGGGGTCAGCTGGCTGCTAGTTCCTAACAATTACCACTGGCAACTATGGCTGTTTGAATATCCTGACATGCTGAGGATTGAACCCAGGGCCCCGCTTTCGAGCTTCACCCACAGTCCTGTTTCCACTTTTTATTTGGAGTCTGGGGCTGGGGCTTAGTTCTTAGCCTAGGATGCCAAAGCCCTGCGTCCCACTCTCATGTCCAATAAACCAGGTGCAGCAGCATATGCCTCTCATCCTAACACTTGGGAGGCAGAGACAGTAAGATTGTGAGCACAAATGGGGATGAGGAGACTACCTGCCCTCCCTTGTTTATGGAGTCAGGGTACTAAGCCACCAGTGTCTTAACTGGCCCTGAAGACGACTAAACCTCTCTCACCCTTCAGAGAGACTAGCTCAAGTGAAGGGATGCAACTGAGGAGGGACAGTCATGCTCTAGTGCTGACAGGAGCTGGCAGGAATGGCTTCTGCATACTGTCTTGGAGAGATGAGCCAAGGACCCGGATCTGATCCTCTAAAATCCACATTAATGTGGAAAGACTCAAACCCCTCAAAGTTATCCTCTGGTTTCCATGTGTGTGCCATGACAGGCATGCCCACACACTCAACAGAAATAAAGTTTTCAAGATCCAGTGTTTTTTCTTTTTGGGTCTTTTTTGTTGTTGTTTTGTTTTGTTTTTTTTGAGACAGAGTTTCTCTGTAACTTTTGAAGCTGTCCTGGAACTAGTTCTTGTAGACCAGGCTGGCCTTGAACTCACAGAGATCTGCCTGCCTCTGCCTCCTGAGTGCTGGGATTAAAGGTGAGCGGCACCACTGCCCGGCCAAGATCCAGTGTTGATAGTGAAGGAATAAAATATTTAAAAGTGTAGTTTAGTGTAGCATAAAAGAAAAAAGTATACTATGATATATGCAGACAAACAGTAGGATACCCTGACACCTGCTCCAATGACACTAGGCTCAGTGGCTCAAACCAGACACAGATACATACTACAGGATCTCACTCCCTAGAGGACCCTAGGGTGGGTCCTCTAGCAGCTTTGGAGAGGTAGAGCCAGAAACACACATGCAATCAGCCCTCAGGAAACCAAGGCAGGGCAGTCTCAGGTCCAGCCTGAGCTACAAAGTGAAACCATATCTCAATAACCAAAACCAAACACCAACCTCTGAAGGTGATACCGACTTAAGTCCTTAAGGCACAAAATCAGTTTCGGTGAATGAGCTCTTAGACAGAGAAAGTCATGGAGGGGGTGAGGGGGGATCATCATTTTGAAAGCTCTAATGAGTAACCATGTTATTCATTTATTTACCTATCTAGTTTTTTGTTGTTGTTTTTGAGCTTTGTTTTGCTTGAGACAGGATTTCACCATGTAGCCCTGGCTGGTCTGGAACTCACTCTGTACACGAGACTTGCCTTAAACTCACAGAGATCCACCTGTTTCTGCTGCTCAAGAGCTATGATTAAGGGAATGCACCACCACACCTGTGTTATTTTGGAGTTTGGACTCAATCTCACTCTGTAACTCTGTATCCCAGCATGACCTCAAATTCATAGCCTTCCTCTTGTCTCTGCTTCAAAGGTGCTGAGATAACAGCCATTGAGCCTGGCTCTGAACCTACTTACATTTTATAGTTGAGTGCTGGCAAATTGGTCTGCATGTGGTGTCCGTGAAAGCCAGAAGTGTTGGGTCCCCTAGAAATGGAGTTACAAGCAGTTTTGAGGGCCCAGTGTGGGTGCTGGGAACCAAATGTTGGTCCTCTGCAAAAGCAGGCATCCTTGACAGCTGAGCCATCTCTCCAGCCAGTCCCTGGGTAACTCAGTAATGTGGCAGTTATAGCTGGGTGCTAAAGTCACTGAATGGCAGGCAAGCACAGGAGATATTTTAGTGTCCTGGGACTCACACTGAGTTTGGGTTATGCCCACCGTCCTCTTATGATAGTTCACTTGGTGGCCAAATCCCTGAATGTTCTTTGCAAACACATCTCTCTCCAAACAATACACATAACAAGCTGGGATTCTTGATTGACATCTGCATCAGGGTATACACTTTCATCCCTGAATAAGAGCAGAATCCTCCCCATCTTTGGTGACAAATTGTCACCACTGGAGTTTTCATTCCAGTGTTTTCCCAGTGTGTCCAGGAATAAAGACTAGAAGGGCCAATCTGCCCAGAACTGGTTTGTGGTACATGCACAGTGAGGCAAAATTGTGTCCTCTATCAGCCTTCTAGGAGAAGCCCCTATTACCTATTTACCATTGCATGCCTATGCATCATGCATAATTGCATTATGGGAATGGATATGGCCAATAGAGAAATGCTAAATGACATAATCTACCAATCAAAATAGAGAACCAGGACCTAGGAAGATGTTTCAGCCATTAACAACAGGTCCTATTCTTGGAGAGGACCTGGGTTTGGTTCCCATCCCTACCTCAGGTGCCTCACATCTACATTTAACTCCAGCTCCAGGGGATCTGTATTGGGTACTTTTCTATTGCTGTGATAAAACACCACCACCAGGACAACTTAAAGGAAATGTTTAATTGGGCTTGTAGTTCCAGAGGGTCAGAATTCCTCATAGCAGAGCTAAGGTATGGAGGCAAGAACAGCCGAAAGCTCATGTCTGGATCCACAGGTAGGAGACAGAGAGCAAAATCCAAATTACAGGAGTCTTTTGAACCCTCAAAGCTCAATCCTGAGTTACAAATGTCTTCCAACACCCCCAATCTTTACCAAACGGTTCCACAAGTGGGGACAAGTATTCAAACCGATGAGCCTGTTGGAACCATTCTCAAACACCACAGAATGCAGAATCTGATGCCCTCGCTGGCTTCCACAGACACTTACATGCACAAGGGGCACACATGCACGCACACACACACACACACACACACCAGGTAAATAAATAAGCCGCGCATGGTGGTACATGATGATCTCAGCACTAGGGAGACAGGTAGATCTCTAAATTCAAAGTCAGCCTGGTCATAGACGGAATTCCAAGACACAGAAAAACCCCTGTCTCAAAAAACCAAAACTGGAGCTGGAGAAATGGCTCAGGAGTTATGAGCACTGGCTGCTCTTCCAGAGGTCCTGAGTTCAAATCCCAGCAATCACATGGTGACTCACAACAATCTGTAATGAGATCTGGTGCCCTCTTCTGTCCTGCATGCATACATGCTGGCAGAACACCGTATACATAATAAATATCCTAAAACAAAAAACAAAAACAAAAAAGATAAGTAAATAAATCACTCTTTCTTTTGCTTGTTTTGTTTTGTTTCAAGACAGGGTTTCTCTGTGTAGTCCTGGCTGTCCTGGAACCCACTCTGTAGATCAGGCTGGCCTTGAACTCGTAGAGATACACCTGCCTCTGCTTCCTAAGTACTGGGCTAAAGGTATGCACTACTACACCCACCACACCAGTCTCCTTTTGGAGACAGGATTTCACTGTGCAACCCAGGCTGGCCTGGACCTTGTAGAGATCTACCTGCCTCTTCCTCCCAAGTGCTGCAATTAAAGGAGCCCATAACCATGCCAGGGCCAAGAAAACAGACCTCCTATATTAAAACTAAGATTTGGACTGGGTGGTGGCACATACCTTCAACCCCAGCACTCAGGAGGCAGAGGCAGGAGGATCTCTGAGATCAGGAGTTCAAGGTCATCCTCAGCTACATAGAGAGTTTAGGTCCAGCCTGGGCAAATGAAGCCCTGTCTCAAGCAGAAGGGAGAAAGTTAAGAAAAGAAGAAGAAGGGGAGGAGGGAAGAGGAGGAGGAGGGAAAGACAAGGAGGAAGAGAGAATGGCAGATTGGGGATTTGATGCACATGTAACTAATCCCATCAGATATCTCTGTCATCTTCTTGCCATGTGATTCACAACATCCAAATGGGGAAACTGGTTGCAGGGGCTCTAGCCTGGTGTGCTGCTGGACACTAACCTTCTGCAGGACATGCTGACTCCTGCTTTGTGCCTGTGACTACTGCCCTCTACTGGTTGTCTTGGTTTGCACCACAGAGCCTGCCCGACTCCATACTTCGTTTATTTATTTATTTTTTTTATTTGACCTTGTAGATGGCCCAGCCTTCCGAAGAGTTTTTTAACCCCCCACTCTCAGGCTTCAAGTGTGTTTTTTGTGCCTCTTGGTTCTTCAGACTGTCACAAATGTCCACCTGGTCTCTTGATGTTTAGAGAAAGGAGAGCAAACTGGAGTGACCCTTCATTAGAGACCTGGCCCAGATTAACCCTGATGCCAAGCCCACTGGGAATATACCCCTGCAATGGGAACCATAGATGACTATGGCAAAAAAACAAAGATATTTAACTTTTTTAAAAGCTGGGAATAGTGAATAACGCCTTTTTAGCCAGCATCCTAGAGGTGAAGGCAGGAGGGTTGCTGTAAATCTAAGGCCAGCCTGGGCTACATGATCCTGACTCAAAAAAAAGAGGAAGAAGGAAGGAAAGAAAGAAAGAAAGAAAGGAAGAAAGAAAGAAAGAAAGTCAGCTGGGCAGTAGTGGTGGTGCATGCCTTTAATTCCAGCACTCAGGAGGAAAAGGTAAGCGGATCTCTATGATGAGTTTGAGGCCAGCCTGGTCTACAAAGTAAGTGTCAGATAGGTTCCAAAGCTACACAGAGAAAACCTGTCTCGAAAAACAAAACAAAAAGAAAACAAGAACAAAAACTAAAAGAGAAAAGGAGGGGGGGGGACCACAGGTTCACAGGACTGCCTCCATCTCTCAAGACTGGAATTCATCCTGGGGACACACCTGAAGAACACCTGGGTTTGAAAACAGACAGAGGGAACCTAGAAGCAGTCCAAGGAACCTTTGGAAAGGATAGGTAGATCTGAAATGAAGTCTAGTCTGTGTTCTTGGGCAAGGCATTTGCCTTCTCTGAGCCATATCTATATTTTCCTGTGTCTGTATGGTGGGGTGGGGTGGGGGTGGGGATTAGATAACATTTACAAACTCTCATTTGTGGCAGATGTCAAAAGACCCACAGATGCAGAAATCCCATTCACTGTGAGTAGCCAGGCATAGTTAAGCATACTTGCCAACTCAGTATCCAGAAGGCTGAGGTGGGAAGTTTGAGAGGTCTGGGACAGCCTTGGCTAAATAGAAAAATCTTGTCTACAACTCAGAACAGAGGCACCTTTTGCCACAAGTCCTCCTTGTGGATGAGCTGTGGAAATGCTTGCCTTGCTGCTTCAGACCCCGCCCCAAACAGCGATCAGCGATGGCTAGTTTGCCTCTCTTCCCAGGTTATCCTGTGCAGCCAAGGGACTGGAGGGCTTGTTCTTTCTGTGGAGGGCATTCCCATCTTACCACCCATGAGGGGGGCTTCTCCCCCAGCATATGACCCCTACGGCAACATTTTCAATCACTCTGCTTTTGCAGCACATTAATGTCCGTGAGCACCCATGCAGTTACCATCTGTCACTTATACTATAGCAAGGGTAGGGGACTCTGTATGTCTGATGTCTGACAGAGAGGATGACACCCTATAGGTAAGAGTGAACTGCAAATAAAATCAGGAGAGTTCATTTGTGATTTTTAAATTTTATGTATGCGAACATTCACCTGAATGGGTGTCTGCGTATCATATCTGTGCAGTGCCCATAGAGGCCAGGAGAGGGCATTGGATCTCCTGGTACCAGAGTGAGCTGTCACAAGGTTTCTGGAATTCCATCTGGGTCCTCTGCAAGAACAGCCAGTGCTTTCAATCGCTGTGCCAATGCTTCCATCTCCTTCTATGCATCTTTTACATTCTAAAATTTTTGTCTGTGCATCTACCGCACTTTAGTAGTATTGTGTGTACCACAGCAAGTGTGTGTGAAGGTTAGAACACAATTTATTCTACTTCTTTCTCCATTCAAATTTCAGGGATCAAATTTAGGTCATCAGACTGGATGGCAAGCCATCCCACCAACCCACATTTGCAACTTTAATTTATGTAGGTGGATCAAGGGAGGAAGGAATAATGTGAAGAAGGGCTGAATGGATGAATTGGGTATGAGTGGGCAGGTGGATGGTGGGTGGGTGGGTAGGTGAGTGGGTGGGTGTAAAAGTGGGTGGATGGATAATAGATGGATGAATGAATTGTTGGAAGGGTGGATGGATATTTTCAAGGTTATACCAAACATTTCATACATACAAGAGCTAATTTTATTCAACAGAAACCCCAGGAGGGAAGGAAATTTTATTTACAAACAGTGTTTGAACATCTGCCCTGGGAAATGTCACACCTTCAAGACTATCCAAGCTTAATCCTGTGGAACAGAAAATCAGACTTAGGCATGTCTATCTCCATACCCTTAGCCATTGTGGAAACACCTTTGCTCAAGAGTGATGGGGGATGTCCTTTTGTATATATGTTTCTCTTATTGATTGATGAACAAACACTGTTTGGCCAGTAGAGTCAAGAAGATAGGAGGGACTGGAGATAGAATTCTGGGAAAGGAAGGCAGAGAAAGACTGCAAGAAGAGATGCCATGTAGTGAAGGATGGAGGAAGGAGTAGCAGGTCTGGACCCTTCTCCGGTAAGATAAGAACATGTGGAAATATTTAGATTAATAGAAATGGGTTGATAATTAAGACAGAGTTAGCCAAAGAAGCCCTAGCCATCGGCCAACACTTTTATAATTAATAAAAGTCTTTGTGTGCTTATTTGGGGCTGAAGTGGCTGTGGGACCAGGCTGTAAGGAAACTTCGATAACATAGTAACCTTCCCACTAAGTGCCCAGAATGGCCACCATGCTCCCCTCTCACTCACCCTGTTCCATGATGTCACCCATGTTGGCCCTCTATTTCCCTTCCTCATGGCTTTCCTGTCTGTCACCATGTGCTGAGTGTATATGTGGTTCAAGGATGACTATACAATTACTTGTACCTAGGGGTGGGACCTACAATGTTTTCTAGGATTCTCCTTACTTTCCCAGAACACAGTCATGACCCAAGTTGAATCTATAACACTCATAAATAGTCCCAGATGTGCAAGATACCAGAGAGTAAGCATCACGCTTCAAGTGGGTGCTGTATCAGCCACCATTGCATCCATTTACCCACCACATCAGTGGTGTGGAGAAGCTGTGGTCCCACAGGCAGAAGGAGGACACAAGTCAGTCATGCAGCGTCCAACCCTCAGTCATCAAACTAGTACTCAGAGCCACAAGAAAGCCCATCTTGTGGCAACAGAGCAGGGCATGGAGTGTGGATGAGGGAAAGGAAAAGTGACCACAGTGTCCCAGATGAAGTTCTGGTCCTCCATCCTCAGAGCACAGGAGACTGAGTGGCTGGTTGGAGAGCAGAGACTCCAGCAGAACTCAGCAGCTCTTGTCATTGTCCTGGATCTCCACATAGGGTAGCCCAATGAACCAACTGTCCCGGGGCCAGTAGTGGACTTTGAGGGTTTGACCTGGCATCTCATACTTGGCGTCCACCAGGGCCATGGTCACAATGCCATAAGGGAAGGTGATGCTTATGAGAACATGCCTGTGAGTGAGGGAAGGGTAGAAAGAAGTCAATAGATGGTCTGACCCAATCTTGTATCCTTGTGGATGCTGAGTGGTATCTATAGTTCCAGACTGCTAGCTGTAACCTCTCCCCACCACCTCCATATCCCAATACCTGGGCCTTCTTTCCCATCTACAACCCAAACTCTGGCATCTGATCTCTGACTTGGGGGTCTTGGGATCCAAAAGAGGTGTCTTACCAAATGCTATGTAGGTAGAAGAAGTGAATCCGCTGCCAGAAACTACAAAGTACACGGTCGCTGATCCAGCTAGTCAGTGCGGCAGCCCACAAGATCACAGACATCTCAATCAGATGCCGAAGATCCCCATTGCTGGTCCTGGGGACAAAAAGAATGGCTGTTTTGTGGGGTGTGGTTAGATGGATAGACAGACAGATGGATGGGAGTGTGGATGGATGGATGGATGGATGGATAGATGGATGGATAGGTGGGTAGCTTGCTGGATGAATGGATGGATGGATGGGTGGCTGGCTGGGTGGGTGGGTGGATGGATGGATGGAGGAGTGGATGAGTGGATGTATGGGTGGCTGACTGGCTGGCTGGGTGGATGGATGGATGGGTAGATGGATGGAGGAGTGGATGAGTGGATGGATGGGTGGCTGACTGGCTAGGTGGGTGGATGAATGGATGAGTGGATGGATGGGTGGGTGGGTGGATAGATGGATGGGTAGGTGGGTAGGTGGATGGGTGGATGGAAAAGAGGATTAATGGGTGCATTTGCACTAACACAGTGTCCCAAGAAAGTGTGCTAAGTGGCTGATGGGAAATTCTTCTTCTGAGAGATGCATCTCATAGGTTGAGAGAGGGAGGAAGAAGTGGTGTTTTCTAGGGAGCTGGTTTGCTGTAGGTTGGCTCTGAGGTGTTCCCCAAAGGCCTATGTGTTGTTAAAAGATCTGTCTTTACCTCCACCCTGTAGGGAGGTGATGGAACCTTTCAGAATTGTGGCCTAGATGATGTCTTTAGGCCACTGATAATGTGTCCTTGAAGGGGATTGTGAAAACCCCAGTACCACTGACCCAAGTCAATAAGGTCAACCAATCAGTACCCAAACCTCTAAAACAATCAGCTGAAACAGCAAACAGGCGAACAGACAAAAACACTTAGCCCAAACCAAGTTCAGGAAGACACATTTGTCATCCCAGAACCTGGGAGGCTGAGGCAGGAGGATGACTGAGATTTTGGAGGCCAACCTGGGCTACAAAGTGAAGTCCTGCCTGAAAAAAAAGAATAAAGAAAATAAGAAAAAAATTCCTAGAATAGTTCTCTCTGTCTCTGCTCTTTTTCTCACTTTGCCTCTGTGTTTCTACCTCCTTCTACATCTAACTCTCTCTCTCTCTCTCTCTCTCTCTCTCTCTCTCTCTCTCTCTCTCTCTCTCTCTGCCTATATGTTCCAAGCTTGCTTCAAACTCCTAGGATAAACTAATCCTTTTGTTCAGCCTCCCAGATACCTGGGACTATATAGGTCTATGTCCTGTGGGGTCATGTGGGACTAATCTTAACTCTTCATGCTGTCTCAGCTATGCTACAATAGCAGCAGAAAGCTAACAATGGTGCCTACTGTGTGCCAATAGCTAAGACTCACTAAGGTGTATGTGTGTGTATGTGTGAAAGAGAAAGAGGGGGAGAGAGGAAGAGGGGAGAGAGAGAGAGAGAGAGAGAGAGAGAGAGAGAGAGAGAGAGAGAGAGAGAGAGAAGTAGTACATTTTTCTGGTGGCCTTGTCTTGAGACAACATAAGACCAGAATCTGGGTTCTGGTTTGCAGAGTCAAATCCCAGTCTGAAGATGGATGAGAAAGCCGTCCTTTATCAATACACACACAGGTTCTACCTACTTGCCTCATGATGAAGCCATTCACTTGGTTTGACCAATGACATCTATGTCAGTTGGCCAATGGCTTCTAGTTGGCTTGCCTAATGGTTTTCACTTGTGCTGCTGTATGGTTTCTTGGCATAAACAATGGCTTTTTAATTGGGTTGACCTGTAATTTACAGTGTATGTGACCTATGCTTTCTAGGAATTTCTCTTTGGGTGGTTTGACCTATGGATTTTAGTTGGCTCAACCTATGATACACAGTCAGCTTGACCTATTTTATATGGTTGACTTGATCTATGGGATAGGTTGACTTAACCTATGGATTCCAGTCAGCTTGACCTGTGGTTCACTGTTGGTTTGACCTGTGGTTCACTGTTGGCTTGAGCTGTGGTTTACTGTTGGTTTGACTATTGTTTCCAGTATGGCGGGCCAGTGATTTTTGCCAGGATTGGCCAATGATTTCCAGTTGGCTTGGCCAATATGGAGTCCCAGCAGAAGCTGACAGGATTGGAACAGGGCCCTGTAGAAGGACACTCTCCTTAGTCACTTCCCTATGGCTTCTCATACCCTTGCCTCAGGTCTCCCAATACTCAGAGAATCCCACCCCTCTTACCACAAGGATCCAGCCCCACTCTCAGGAATTTTCTTCACTCTGCACTCTCTCTCTCTCTCTTTTTAATATTTCTCAGTCAGCCCCATTGAGTAGCCCAGAATCACTAAGGCCCAGCACGAGTTACAAATACAAAACATTATCATGGCTCTAGCTCAGTTGGTAGAGCACTTGACTAGTGTCTAAGAGGCCTAGGTTCAATCCCCAGCACTTGGTGCAGGGGGAAGGGGATTATAATTATTTTTAAAAAGTTAAATTCTGCTTTAACACAGGGACAGGCAGAGGCTGGGAGGAGTTCCAGGAGTTCAAGGCAAGCCTAGTCTCCACAGAGAGTTCCAGGGCAGCCAGAGCTCCACAGTGAGACCCTGTGTCAAAACAAAGAGCTAAACAAGCATATGTAAGGGCGAAGGGAAAGGAGGATGAGCTTTGAGCTGGATGTGTTGGAGCACACCTGTATATTCAGCCAGGAGGAGGGAGGAACAGGAGTTCAAGGTCCTTCTCTGCTTCACAGCCAGTCCCGATGCAGTGTGGGCCCATGAAACCTCAAAACTAAAAATTAAAAAAAGACAAGCTCTGGGCTGCTGAGATTGCTCACTGGGTAAAGGCACTTACTGCTAATCTGACAACCCCAGTTTGATGGGCAGGACCCACGCCTTGGAAGAAGAGAACTGACTGACCTCTGACCTCCACACATAAAAAAAAATAAATAAATGGCCAGGCGTTGGTGGCACACACCTTTAGTCCCTGCACTCAGGAGGCAGAGGCAGGAGGATCTCTATGAGTTCGAGGCCAGCCTGGTCTAAAGAGCTAGTTCCAGGACAGAGTTCCAAAGCTACAGAGAAACCCTGTCTCGAAAAACAACAATAACAAAAACTTAATAAATGAATATAAAGCATGTTTTAAAGCAGACAATGTTTGCAGGCAGACTGCTCTGAAGTCGGTTCTATTAATGGGTCAACATTGGGGAATGGGCGCCCCCTGCAGGAAACTGGGGTCAGGGAACATTCATAACGCAGAACAATGGAGTACAGGGCTCCAAGGGAGAACGGAAAGCTTTCTCCTAGGCAGCTACAGCCACCACACATTTTCTCAAAAGCATTAACATTTATCCTTTTTATGGTGCTGGGAATAGAACCCATATACTAGTACATGTTAAGCATGAGCTTTATACTTAAGCAACTAGCCCCTCTCAATGGGGGATTCTAGGTGGCGGCTCCACCCCGACCACTCCCCCTGCCCCTAGCACTCACTTCTTGTACTCTTTGTGCACAATGTAGAGAATGTGTACAGCTATGCTGTTCAGGGCATATGCATTGACCGTGGGCTTCACAAACGTCAAGAAGGTGCTGATCACAGTGCTCGTAATTACAAGGCAGCTGAAGTAGTACCTGAGGGAGGATGGGATGGGCAGGTGTTAAACGAGGTCACTTTGGGCAGCCAAAATGGATTTGACAGAGCAAGAACTCTGGGGAGTCCATCTGGGCTCAGGAAGAGCCTCTGAATTTCCTCAGGTCTACTCAGAAAGAACAGGATTCAAGAGAACCCAGAGGGATCAGACCAGAACTAAAGGGAGCCTGAAGTGGGCTGGGAGGATGAAGAGGATTCAAGAGGCCTGCTAAGGTCAGGTGAGGGGTTCATGGAAGCTTGAAGAGCTCAGAAGATGGGGAGAAGGTATCAGCGTAAGGTTGAGGATGCAGAGGACCTTTGGCATGGGCTCCTAGAATTCCCCTCACCGCTGGTGGCTTAGAATTAGGAAAAAGTTCCTGAATTTCTAGGTGTCGATGGAACAGGTCCATGGAAGCCCAGGTAAGTTACCAATTCCAGGTAAGTTATGAAGGATCTAAGAAAAATTCACGGGTGGCCTAGGGGTAGGAAGGGACTCGAAGCTCTCTCAAATGGTCCTGTGTTTAGGATTCAGGATAGGGGAAGATCACATGGGGTCCACAGAGGGTGCACCTGCTGTACCTGCTCCCCTTGATGAACTTGGGGAAGTAGCAACGGGGCAACCACACACTGTAGCCACTGGCCAGCAACCACAGGATGGAGATCTCATCTAGCAGCTGCCCCACCAAGCTGAGTGTCATGTGGAAATACATCGAGAACAGACCTGTGGGCAGGCAGAGACAAGCAGAGGCTGTCAAGAGGAGGCACCATTTCCAGAAGGTTTTCACAGCTTTACACACTTGCACGTACCTATGACCATGAAGAGGACCGAGACTCCGTAGATGGCCCAGGTGCGTCTCTGGGCATAAGGATGCATGAGGAACATTATGAGAGGTCCAAAGATGAGGAAGAACACATTGCTGAACTGCAAGCGGAGCATGAACCAGGCTGGTTAGAGGGGAACAGGGCAGGAGCTCCCTCCCACATAGGGCCAACCCGTAGCTGCTCCATCTGCTAGGCTGTCCAGCAACGAACCAGGATTTGTTCATCACTCAAATGTTAACTTCCCAGAACAGCTTTCTGGCTTTAGTTTTGTTTTTTGAGACAGGGTCTCACTATATGAGCCTGACTGTCCTGGAACTCTCTCTGTAGACCAGGCTCAGGCTGGCCTCAAACTCATAGAGATCTGCCTGCTTCTGCCTAAAATAGAGTGTGGGGATTAAAGGTGTGTGCCACCAAGCCCAGCCCTCCCATCATTAAAAAAAAAATGTTAATCATTAGTATGACTTGCCTTTAATCCTACTATTCAGGAGACAGAAGCAGGTTGATCTCTCTGAAATCAAAGCCAGCTTCATCTACATAGAGAATTCCAGGCAGCCAGAGCTACACAGTGAGACTCTTTGGTACTAATGGAATCCTGAACCTTTGATGGACTGCTAAGGAAGAGCTCCACCCCTGACCATCACTTGGGCATTCCAGGCAGGGCTCTGCCCCTAAGCCAGTTTGTTGTCTCCTCCACTGATCCTAGCCATTCCTGGACCATTTGTAGATCCTTCATTCAATCCATTATTCTGTTGATTCTTTCATTTATCCAGTGAGGGGAGCACTAAGGACTCACTAAATCTTTTGCATATATGTTCTTCCCCCTTTTCCCCTTAGAAGGAAATTCTAAACTTGTGAGATCAGTAATTGTGCATTAAAAATATTCAGGACAGGTGTAGTGGCACATGCCTTTAATCCCAGCACTCAGGAGGCAAGAGGTAGGTATTTCTCCAAGTTCGAGGCCAGCTTGATCAGATATGCCAGGGCTACACAGGGAGACCCTGTTTCAAAACCCAAATATAATATACACATATTTCAGAAATTTTCAGAGTGGTGATACATGCCTGTAATTTCACAGATCTGGAGGCTGAGGCAGGAGGATTGCTAGGAGTTCCAAGCCACCCTGGGATACAATGCAAGACCCTGTCACAGTGTAAGACCCTGTCTGTCTCCAACAGAGAGACAAGCAAAATGCAGTGATACCTATGCACAATATCCATATCATGTAAGGAGAAAGTTATCTAAAGAATATTTAAAGACTATGGGAAAAAAATTGCACAGACTCTAAACTAACATTACAACATTGTATAAAAGGGACCTGAGGGCCTACAGGAGGGCTTGGCAGGTGAAGGTGCTTGCTGCTAAGCCTGAATTAGATCCCTGTAACCCACATAGTGAAGGGAGATCTGACTTCTACAGATTGTTGTTTGACACTGCTGCCAGCATGCATCCCCTACCACAATGCCTCCAAATGAGAGCCAAAATAAACTCTTTATTAAATTGCTTTTGCCAGCTAGATGGTGGTGGCACACACCTTAATCCCAGTACCCTGGAGGCAGAGGCAGGCAGGGCTCTGTGAGTTCAAGGCCAGCCTGGTCTACAGAGAGAGTGCCAGGATAGGCTCTAAAGTTATACAAAGAAACCCTGTCTCGAAAAACCAATAAATGAATAATAAATAAAATCACTTTTGTTAAGTATTTTGTTCCAGCAACACGGCAAGTAACCACACAAGATCCCCACCACCATCCTCCCTTCTTACCCCTCAGCTAAACGATGATGTGGCTCAGGCTTGTACAAGGTAAATCCTAGAAACTAACAACACCTTACCCGCACTGATCTGAGTCTACTTTCTTCTATTGTAGCGAAAGTATTTGTCAGGCTCCCTTGCAGCTACATGCAGCCATGTGACTTGATTTTAGCTAGTGAGACGCTTCCAGGTCTCCTGCGCCTCCTGTCCCTCCCCTCCCCCCTTTTTCCTTTCTCTCCCATGCCTTCTCTTCCCTTCCTTCCTTTCTTTGTGGGGTGGGGCCTCACTCTACAGCCCAATCTGGCCTTGGGTAAACGAAATTTCCAACGCAGCCTTCTGAGTGCAGATGTTACAGATGTGCACTGCTATGTGAGTAGGAACTACAGAATAGAAAGGCAAAAAAGGAGCTGGCAAGGAGGGCTGAGCAGGCAAAGGTGCTTGCCACCTAGGCTGTGCACCTAAGTTCCATCCCCGGTGAAAAAAAGAAGTTCACTCACAAAAGCAGTGCGCTGATCTCCCTAGTTCGTGATGGGGTACCAGCACACACGAATGTGTGCTCACACACAGATTACCAAGGAAGGAATCAGGCAGTGTTTTTGTTTTATTTCCCTTTGTGCTATGAGAGCACAGGATGACCTTGCCTTATGATCCTTCTGCCTCCATCTCACAAGTACCAGGATGGCAGGTGGTGCCACTGTGCCTGGCTGAACCATGCGATTTGGTGGGTGTTTTTGAGTCACAAAGGACCTCCAGTTCTAGAACCATCTACTTGAGGCTGGAGCATCAACTGAGACATTTCCTTAAGAGATTTGGTTCCAGCAACCACATGGGGGCTAACAACCACCTGTGACTCCAGTTCTAGGGGATCTTCTGCCCCCTTCTGGCATATGCAGGTACTGCATGCATATGGTGCACATAGCATACATGCAGGCAAAATACTCATACATATAAAGCAAAATAAATAAATCTACAAAATGTAGAACCATCTACTTCTAGACCACCTTGGAGGTATGTGTTCCATGCCTTCCTCCTTTCTGCTTTCCTCTGGTGAGCCAAGGTCTCTCACTGGACCTCTCCATTTCTTCTAGGCTGCCTGCCTATAAACTCTCAGGATCCATTCATTAGTCTCCACTCTCCTGGTGCTGGGGTTTCATGCATGCTCAGCTATGCCCAGATTTTTATGCAGGTGTTGGGGATTCAAACTAAGGCCCATATGCTTGAAGAGAATGCTTATACCTGGAGCCATCTCTGCAACCCCTGGAGTTTTAATTGAGTCATAGTTAACAGGTAGGGTGCCAAGTCCTGCATCTCCTACTCCTGGAAACTTGACTGGGGCCATAAGGAAATCAAGAAAAGACAGACACACAAGACATTTACAGAAAATCTGGGACCTTCTGATGGAGATGTACCAGAAATAGCCAAGCTATTCAAGCACGTTTATTTTATTTGTCTTAATGGAGGAGGCAGGGACATGGTACACAGCTAAGCATGGTGGTTTACCTAATCTGTGTGGAGGGCTCTGTATGGGAACCATCTCAAACTGTAGAGATCTCTGGGGAGGGAGCTGTGGTTGCTAGTTTTTGCATACACTGTCAACATCCACACTCAAACCAGTGGAAAGTTCAGCAGTTCCCGAGTCCCACCCTGGAAGGCTTTGCCACTTCCTTCCTTGGGTGTGAGGTGTTGGGACCCTGACACAGTGAGGTCATGTCAACTGTACACACTCACTCAGGGCTTCCTCTGACCCCCACACTTGGGGTCTAAGTAATCCTGTTACCTTGTTCATTTGCCAAGCTTGAGGCTCTGGAATGGTAATTGGTTCCCTGGCATCTATATATAACCTGTGAAATAGGCACAGACACCTTTAGAATTGCTGACCCAAAGACCCCAGGACTCACTGGCCTCTGTGGCTACAATTTCCATTTAGTTAAGAACACCTGCCAATTAGCAATTAAGATCACTGGCTGCTCTCCCAGAGGACACAGGTTTAGTTCCTGGCACCCTCATAGCAGCTCACAACTGTCTGTAACTCAGTTCCAAGGGATCCAACACCTTCCCCTCACACAGACACATATGTGGTCAAAACACCAATGCACATAAAATAAAAAAAAATAAAATAAATGTTTAAAAAGGCCACCTATGAGCTATGGAGCTGGCCTGTGATCCCAGCTACTCCAGAGGCTGAGGCAGAAGAAACCAAGATAAGGGTGGCCTTGGGAGCCCCAGAGACACTTTAGTGGATGAAGTTCTATGCATGAGGATCCAAGTTCAAATCCCTAGAACCCACCCAAACCTAGACTGGACAGTGCACAGGTGGAATTCTGGTCTCTTTTGGAGTAGCAAGAGACAGAGAGTGGAGAATCGCCAGAAGCATGCCAGTCCAGTGTGCTCAGCTCACTGGCAAATGACAAACAGAAGCATCTCTAAGGAGGTACATGACAAGGATTGACCAAGGGGTTGTCCCCTGATCTGCACATATCTGCCATGGTATGTGTGTCCCACATCCACACAATCCACATCTGCACACACACACATTTATTTGTGTGTGTGTGTGTGCATACATATATATGTGTATGTGTATATATAGTCTCCAGTATCTATATGTAACCTATGATTTAGGCATCAGGCCAATGCAATGGCTCAGCAGGTAAAGTTGCTTGCTGTCAAGCCTGATGATCTGAGTTTGATCCCTGGAGCCCTCATGATGCAAAGAGAGAAGATACTCCCACAGGCTACCCTCTGATGGTTACATGCTCCCCATGGCATGTGTGTGCATGCACATACGTACACACACACACAAATAAATAGGTATAATTTAAAATATACCCATTGACAACTGCCAAAAAAAAGGGGGGGCTGAGAGAGAGACGTTGGAACACACAGCTCTAAATGGGATGTCTCTGTCAAATCCTTTCCCCTCAGAGCTCAGGGAACCCCACAGGATAGGAGGCAGAAAGGGTGAAAGCCAGGGGTGATGGGGGACACCAAGACAGCAAAGCTCTCTGAATCAACTAAACAAGGCTAATTTCAACTCGCAGTGACTGAAGCTGCAAGTGCAGGACCTGCATGGGTCTGCCCCAGGTCCTCTGCATATCTGTTATGGCTGTTAGCTTAGTATTTGTATAAGACTCCTGACTTCATGAATAAACAGGTTTCTGATTTTTGGGCCTGCTCTTGGGCACTTTTCCTTCTGTTGATTTGTTTTATCCAATATCTTATGACAGCTTTTGTTTATCTTTTTGTTTGTTTGATTTTTTTCAAGATGAAGTTCCAGCCTGTCCTGAAACTTGCTTTGTAGTCCATGATAGTCTTGAACTCAGAGATCCGCCTACCTCTGCTTCCAGAGTGCTGGGATT